GGCAGCGGCACCTGCTCGGGGTCCTGTGACTGGCAGCGCTCGCGGGAGAGGAGCGACAGATTCGGGATTTTATTTCCACTCAAGAAATAGTAGGATGGTGATCAGCTGTAGCATTATTTTTCACTAGTGGGGTTAACCGCTTAAAGGTAAGTTAAAGGTACCTATTAATTGTCCAAACCAGGTTTTCTGAGTTTCTGTCTGAATTGGTACTAAGGGTGGAGATTAACTTTAGATTTGAAGAATGCAAAACTCCTCCAAAGCATAGTTCCAGTGTATGTTGTGAGTTAATCGGAGTAGGCAGCTCAAGCCTCACCCTTCTTCTTGCACTGGGATGGGGGTAGAATCAGAAGGGTGAACGTGGCAAATCCTATGGGTTTTCCCAGAAATAAAGACAGTTTAAAAGATAAAGCAAAGCAGAATGCAAAACGGAATGTGTCATCTATACATTATGTCCCCTTAGCAGGCACGTTTCTAGCCATTTCCAGGAAAGCAGGACGTGGTCAGGTTTAGCGCTGACTTGGGAAACCATATGCTGTCATGTTGCGTGTTTCCCCCTTTCTACTTCTTCACCCAGTTTAGATGGTTGAGCATAGCATCATATGGTGTGGAATAGGCCTTTGGTTGGTTTGGTTCAGAAGTCCCAGCTGTGTTCCATGCAAACTTTTTGTGCCATCCACCTCCTGGGATAGAAGCCAAAGGAGAAACAGAAATTGCTTTGACTCTGTGTGAGTACTGTTCAGTGATAGCTAAACATCAGTGTGTTTGAAGCACTTTCTTTGGTCACAAAACACAGCACCCTGCTAGCTATTAGGAAGAAAATTATCTCAGTCCCAGCTAAAAAAGTACAGTGTGAAAGAAAAATTTGAAATAACAGTCTTTTAAATGTCATGCAGTTTTTGTTTTGCCCAATCTGTTTGATTTTCAAAGGGCACAAAGTTTAACTGTTTACAATAGGAGGAGTTTGGCTTAGGGATGTACAGCAGATTATAATGGAGAAGTTTCTGAGTGTGTACCCGGAAGTGTGGGGTTTGTCAGTTCTAATGGCACAAAATAAGTACAGCAAGTGTATATTGTTGTACAACAACTGTATGAGAGCACTGTATTTTGTTCTGGCTTACTGTCCTTATATTTAGAATAGAAATAGACACTTTTAATTTTTTTAGAGTAGTATTTTATTACTGGAAAAATACTGTCTTCAGTTTAATCCTTCAAACAATATGCTTTGGACTTGGATCTTACAAAAGAGGAAGGGCATCTGGTGTGTCAAAGAACCTTTCTGAAAAAAGTAAGCTATCAAAAGATTAACAACAGGCAATTGAGATAAAGATGGTAAGTTATTGTTCATATTTGTTAATATTAACACTGTGTTAATAACATAGTGATCTGTGGTTTTGCCTTTGACAAAAATCATAAACTAAAGGATAGAGAATAATATTTTTCAAAAATGGTAATTTTTTGTAAGGCTGTTTTTCTAGTGGAGGTCTAGTTAGACCCTGAATAAACAAGGATTAGGTTGTTTATTGTTCTTATACTGCTGAAGCTAATACTTCATGTTAGCAACTCAAACTCTGCAGTCACCTCTTGTCCTTTGCCCTCTATCCTTACCCTAGACTGGGAGATAAAGTAATAAGATGAGAGTTACGAAAAACTTAATACAAGGTATTCATTGTCAAGATACTGAAATGAGCAGCATAAATAGTTGTCAGCTGTCTGCATGTGAACAAAAAAAATTACAAAGGAAGGCCACAATGCATAGAGGATGTGAGGGAGATTAATTATTACTCAGGAATGACTCTTGAACTAAATTAGCTATTGGTACCAGCTTTTAGTTAGGACGGTGCTAGTTGTGGAGGGTTTTAGAAAGATGGTGGAAAAGACGGTCTGAAAATAGAAGTTGGACAGCGAAGGTAAACACAATATCCAATTTGAAGGCAATACAAAACAAAATGTAATTTCAAAATTCTAAAAAGTCAAGATATTGAAAGAACCTGTAATGGGAGATTAATAAATGTGTTTGTGAGCATAGCGGTACAGTGTGGCTAAAGCATGAGTGATTCCTTGGTTTAGGATGGGGAAAAAAAGATTATTTAAATATATGAAAGTTTGTAAGTGTACTCTTGATCCTGTGCAAGGTTTTAGAGTAAATTTTAGCAAGACTGTGACCACTGAAATAAGGAGAGACATGATTAATTTGAGCAGCTCAATCTAGTGAAAGATGTCTCACCTATAGCAAGGGGATTGGGACTAGATATTTTAAAGTCCTGTCCAACCCAAGCCATTCCATGATTCTAACCGTGACAAGAGCTCTTTATTGTGACCTTGCTGCGGAAGAAAACATTGTGTAACTGCACTTGCCTGACTGACTGGGCAGATATGTCAGTTGTAGGCTGATGACAAGCTCAGATGTATTGATGCAATATGTTGCATCTCCAAAAAATGAAATCCTAGCACACATTAAGAAAGAAAATTTCCAACAATGATGAGGGCATGTTAACTTGCCACATATAAATGGATAAGGTACAGGCATTTCCGGTCTCTTGTACTAGAGAGTAATGGAAACTGGGCCAGCTGCAGAGAAACACTGGGCGAAGGAAAACTGTTTGTTATGATATGGTTTTACCTTTCATTCAACTCTTTTGTTGAATGAAAAGGTAATGAAAATGAAGATGAGGAGGTGATATCACTACAGTCTGTCAGGGTGGTGGAGAGTAAGAAAGTCTGTTTACCATTAAGTGGAATACTGCAAAGAAGCCATTGATACCATTAGCTAAATTTAGTATTAAAGCAAATCTGCATCATTTGTGACATGCTTACTTGCATATTAATTGGAATTTAAAAATGCAAAATCAAAATGAATTGTCACTATAAAAGAAGAGCATTTAAATATGCTGAAAGCATACCTTTAAAGTTAAAATTTGCCATTTCACCCTTTTTATAGTGAGGAAGTATAAATGTAGTGTTCTTAATTATACTGACGTAATGTGTTTTATGACTACATATTTGTGCTGTTTATTTCAGGAGAGCAAAATTAATGAGTTATGTTGCGGAAACCATGAATTTCACTCATCAAATTGTACGTATTTCTTTTCTTTAAGATTCAGTGTTCTGATGTGTCTTTGACCTCTTGATTTTGCTCTTTTTCTTAGCTTCTAGAACTCGCTGTTGTTTCAGCACTCTCTCACAGTTCCTAACCAGAATTTGTATCTACATGTTCTAACTAGGCCTTATAGTACGTCATGAAAAAAATGTTTGTCCAAGAAATGCAAGTATATATAGTGTATTTTTCTAGTTCTTTTCTTCTTCTTAAGTATGTGTGTGAACTGGGTTTATATCAACATGCAAGATTAATTTTGAGAAGAAAACTTAAGTAGCCTTAAAAAATCCATGCAAAATGTTTGATTTTCTTCAGCAACTCCATACTCACTTGTAATTTAAATTAAGTTCTTGCAACACAACTGTGTACTTTGCTCAAGAGAAGGAAAACTTGTTTTTCTGGTAGGTGTGGCTGCTGTTACTGACATTAGAAGAGCAACAGCTATGGGAAATAAAATGTGCCAGGAAGTATCTTAGTTATTGTACCAGTGTTTCTCCTCACAGTATTGTTCTGTATTGAACAATTATTACCATTTACCTTAAAAGTATTTATCTGTTTAAAATAAACAATTAGTAGATTACTTTAGCAGAAAATGAATGGAGGACTGAACAGAACCTCACTCTGCTATCTACTTTAAAAGGTACTTTTTCCTTTCCGCTGTTCGCTGTTCAAAATGCAATTGAAAAGACATATTTTTTTCTTGTTAGTTATTTATTGCTAGAAAAAGTAGAAGAAAGAACAGGTACAGGTAATAAATTTATTTTGTTATTTACTGTTGATGTGTTTTGATATTTCTTTAATTAAAAAAAATCTATAAGATAGATCAATATTTTAAGTCATAAATAGATAAAAACAAGGGGGAAAATGTTGAATGTGACCTTCTCTTTGTAAGAGTGCTAAAATATATAACATCCTTGGAATAAGAAGGCTTGGGGGAAACCTGTACTTTAGAACGTATCATAAAAAGACTTAAAAAGTTTGAGTTGTTTTCAGTCACAAATCTCCAGCTAGAAGTCATACAGCAATGGCAGATTCTTGCTATGTATTTGCTGTTCTGTTCTCATTTTAAGGACTTATGGGGATACTATCTTCATTTCAGAGATAGAAGAGTCAGTGCTTTCTGCTGCTTCTTTTCTGCTTTGTGCCTAGTGATGCAGTGAGATTTTTGGTGCCCCTATAAGTATTCTCTTCTGCAGAGAAACACTTGGTTTCTCTGCAGAAGAGAGATTTCTTGGTAGCTAGCAAAGTCTGCTGTAAATCACATCAGCCTTGGCATGTGGGACATTTTCAGGGGTGTATTGTGACTGTGGTTCTCTCTAATTCACTTTTTCATGAAATAGCAATTGTTAAAATACAGTACATTATTTTGAGGGCACAGACAATTATTTTTCGCCTGCTAGAAACATTTTTGTCGTCTTTTGCAATAGCATCAGTTCATTCCATCCTGTCATTTTACTCCACACTTCCTGCTGGCAATTGGGGAAACTCTCTTCTACCAATGCAGTTTTCTAATCTGACATGAATTTAATTAATCTGGGACACTTTTTTTCCCCAAGAATCTCTGTGGTACAAGCAGGCCTTTTAGGAGACTTGCTGTCACTTTTCTATTTATGGATCATATTTGAATACCTAAAGGTGACTTTGTAGAAAACACTTTCATCTAGGCTCCATTTGCAGAAATTAGTGCTTTGAGAGTGCCATAAACTCCCATTCAGGCATTAACACAAGGCTAGCACAAATGCTGCTAAAGACTTTGGTCATCCAGTCACTCAGGACTGCCTACCTGTACCTGCAGCAGCAAGAGTTTTAAGCCCGAACCCCCAAATCATGCCAGGAGCTAAGGCAGCATTGATCCATTGTAAAGAGGCCCAGATCTCTAGTAAGCATTAATATGAGATGGCCTTTCCTGCAACTCCTGCCTCGTACAGGGTTACGTGGGGTAGAGTGGCAAATTGAGTTTTATACCTGCATTGATTTCACCTGCTTTTGTTGCATTGTATGAATTGACTTTCCTCTGTGTGTATGGTTTCTTCTGTAGTGATCTGCAAGTTAGGGAATCCATACATTAGGGATTATATCTGGACCATCATGTGTAATCCCCAATTAGCATATTTATTATGAACTTGATTAATTCTATATACATTTAATTTATCTGCCTCTAGCTTGTCTGTGAGAAGTCTGGTTGAGTTTGGTTTTTTAAAACATAATTTACGTACACACTGCCTCAGTGGAAAAAAAAAGTTTTGCTTTGCTTTAAGAATTACTGCCTAGTTATTAAATTGGATATTCTAAAATTTGGATTCTTGAAAAAAAAAAATTCTCCTTGTATTGCTGTATATAGACCTGTTATATTCTGCAGAACCCTCCATGTAGAGAAACTTCTCCACACATCTGACAAATAGAGGCATTCAGAGTGTCACGTATCATACATATCATTAAATGCATGTTCTGTAACTAGATTTTCATAAAAGCACAGTAGCTGGGTCTCTGAGTAAGTCAGTGCACCATGACAGAGACTTACCCTCATCCTGTTTGTGAAATTCTTGAGCAATGATTGTGAGTATTATCTCATACTGCCTTTTCTTTTCTGCAGATAAGGCAGCATAAATTACAAGGATAAAGAAATTTGCATGGACATTTAGATCCGTTCAAAATGATGTGTGCTGGGAAAAAATTTTACTTTGCTGCTGCTGTGTGCATTATGACTGTAACTTCAATGCTTGCAGTTTCTTATCTGAAGTTACAGAGACTTTCTCATCAGCCAAAAGTAATTCAAGAAGGTGGAAGATGTAGAGGGAAACTTGCCATTAGCACAATAACAGCATTAGAAGGTAACAAAACTTTTATTATATCCCCATACTTTGATGACAGAGAAAGCAAAGTCACTCGTCTGATTGGGATAGTTCACCATGAAGATGTAAAACAACTGTACTGCTGGTTCTGCTGTCAGGCCAATGGAAAGATACATGTATCAAAAGCAAACATTGATGTTCACTCAGATAGATTTGGATTCCCTTATGGTGCAACAGATATAGTTTGTTTGGAACCTAAAAATTGTGATCCAACACATGTATCAATTCATCAGTCTCCATATGGAAATATTGACCAGCTGCCGAGGTTTGAAATTAAAAATCGCAAGCCTGAGACCTCTTCTGTTGACTTCACCGTGTGCATTTCTGCCATGTTTGGAAACTACAACAATGTCTTGCAGTTTATACAGAGTATGGAAATGTATAAGATTCTTGGAGCACAGAAAGTGGTGATCTATAAGAACAACTGCAGCCATCTGATGGAGAAAGTCTTGAAGTTTTATGTAGAAGAAGGAACTGTTGAGGTAATTCCCTGGCCAATAAACTCACACCTCAGGGTTTCTTCTGCATGGCGCTTCATGCAAGACGGGACACACATTGGCTACTATGGACAAATCACAGCTCTAAATGACTGTATATACCATAACATGGAAAGGAGCAAGTTTGTGGTCCTTAATGATGCTGATGAAATAATTCTTCCCCTTAAACACCCAGACTGGAAAACAATGATGAACAGTCTTCAGGAAGAAAACCCAGGGGCTAGTGTTTTCCTCTTTGAGAACCATATCTTCCCAGAAGCTGTATCTTCTCACACGTTCAACATTTCATCTTGGAATACTGTGCCAGGAGTTAACATATTACAGCATGTATACAGAGAGCCTGACAGGAAAAATGTAATGAATCCCAGGAAAATGATAGTTGATCCACGAAAGGTGATCCAGACTTCAGTCCATTCTGTCCTACGTGCTTATGGGAAGAGCGTGTATGTTCCCATGGATGTTGCCCTCATTTATCACTGTCGGAAGGGCCTTCAAGGAAACCTTCCCAGAGAATCTCTCATCAGGGATACAACACTGTGGAGATATAACTCATCATTAATCATGAATGTTAACAAGGTTCTATCTCAAACCATGCTGCAAACTCAAAATTGAAACCTCAGTTATAAAGAGTGAAAGTGGAGGGCTACCTGTATTGTAGGAAGACAGAGAATATAATTTAAAAATCACATTACATTGATTTTCACATGGAGTCTACATTTTTCTGCAATTATTTAGGGAAGATATAGCAAAGCCATGAATCACTTAATGATGATATTAAGGGTCAATGCAGATTGTAGCATCTCTTCTGGGAAATGTACAATTTGTTTTCAGTTAATAATAAAAATCAGTATTTGTCAATTGATTCAAATAATGCAAAATAGTTTTCAACCTATGTACAAAAAGTTCAAATACAATCATTAGTATAAAGGTAGCATTGCTTAATTATTGCAGTTTGTATGTCACTGGGTACTAAATTTGTATGGATCAATATGAGTAAAAGGTAGACAAGTAATTGAGTACAATCTTCCTTTCAGTTGTAAAAAATTACCCCTTACTGAAAGGGAAATAGTTCTTGGAAATAGTATATGTTAAAGATGTGATGGATTGTAACACTAAACACAGCCATTGGAGTTTTGCTGATAAAGAATGTCTTGTTCAACTGGGCTTTGGAGACATGTAAGTTTGAGAAGAGTCATTGCACGTATTCCTGAATTACTAAAGTGCTAAATGCTGAGTTGTGTCAACAAGCTTTAATAGAGGCAAGGGAGAGAGATTCATCTTAATGAAAAAGATACTTTTGTGAACCAAAAAGAACCTATTTCAAGGAGGAAAAAATAGATGGCCAAACAACTTTTATGAAATGTAATATTTTGTTGGGGTTTTTTCTGGCACCTTGAAGCCTCGTAGGAAAATATTTTGTGAGATTTAGACACAAGTTGGATTTTAGTCCTTTATGTGATGGGTAAGTTGAATTACATTGCTTCCTTGGTAGGTGTAAGGGTACAGAAGCTGCATTTTTTCTTAACTCTATCTGGAAATAGTGCTAAGTAGTGACTTGCTGATGGGCCAGATGGAAACCAAAGCAAACAGAAAAACCATTTGCTCATTTTTGTTTCACAGTTTCAGTTTCACAGTTTCAGTTTCTGTTTGATAAAACCCCAGAACTACATGCATTGCATATGTTGTCACATTATACTACAGCCTTCCTACTGAAGGCACATCTGAAGGCAGCGATAGCCTGACACTGGTGTCTGACAGACGGAAGTGTGTGTGAGAGCAAGTATGATTTTTAAAATTTCTGCATTAGTGTCATGCTTTCATTCCTTTATCTATTTGGTAGTGGTACATATCTGTGCCCTTAAAGAGCTCTGTCATTAGTGGAATAGTATCATTAGCAATGTCCAAAGGGAACTTCTACTTTGATTCACAGTGATTGCAGCATCTCCCAGACTGTATCATAAACAAACTTGCAGCTGTATTAGGATCTGAAATGCCTGCTCCTGTCAGTCATACAATCTTGTATGGCAACAGGTCCATTAAGAATTTCAGACTTGCCATTTAGAAAGGGCATCTGAAAGTCCAGCTCCCTGCTTATAGCATGGTGTGCTCAGGGCTTTGTCTAGGAAGGCTGGGCAACCTGTTTCAGTCTTAAACTAGACTCACTGTGGAGAATTCCTCTCGTCACAACAACCATTAACTATTGTCTTGCTGCAAGATGCCAAAATGAGTCTGACACAGTTTTCTTTATAGCTCACTAGTTAGCTGGAGACAGTAGCAGTGCCTCCGCATCCCATGCCCACCACACCTTCCCGTCTGGAGGGCTTGGCCTGGGTGTGTTTCTCAGCCATCTTGTGCTCCACCTCTCTGTGGACTCTATATAGTCAAGGTCACTAAAAGAAGTAGTTAACCAAGATTTCCTGCTTTGCTGATTTGGAAACAAGGACATTTCTGGCAGGCCTCTGTTTAATCTTTCAAACTTAATGCAGTGCTGTATAGGTGGTTCCTTTAGAAGCACACATCTTAATGATACTGTTATGTTACTCCCACATTAGGAATGCTGAGAACTGGGTTTCAAGACAAGTTACTGAAGTTAAGTTATTGAAAACATTCTTCTTCATGGAAGCTTTCTTCACTTGGGAGTGAGACAACAAAAGCTCACCTTTGTGAGCTCATCATTTATGCCCCACACAGTGCAGTTTGAATTGAGAGTTGTGAATTTGGCTTCTGGTTAATAAAATCCTTGAGTACAGACAACATTTTTCAAAGTAAATTGATGTGACTAAAGGTGAAAAAACTGAATGCTTAAAAGTCTGGCTCTGTATTTTAGAGACTGCTCCTCTGTGACTTTAAGCTACTCCTACGGCATCCTCAAATACTGATTCTTGCATATGAAAACTCCCCTTCATTTTGTAACTCATACCACATACCTTTGGGAATAGTGGCCTTCATTTAGTATTAAGTATGAAATCAGGTCTCCTTGAATAGTGGGAAGAAAAAAATCACACTAGTAATGCTGGACAGTTTTGTCCTCTGAAGGGCACGAGCACAAGCTTCATGAAAACTCACCTTTTCAAGTTGTGTGAAAAAAAATGACATTAAGGCGGGAGGGAGGGAGGGAAGGCAGGAAGGAAGGTAGATCAACCTCAAGCATTTCTAAAGCATGTGATGTAGATGCAGCTTTAAAGTACATGTCAAATAGCGCAAAAATATGTGGACAAATACTTGTTAAAGGACTCATTTGATTCTTCTGGTTCAAAGGCTCAGTATTTAAAGCTGTCATATGGAAAAACATTTTGAAGAGAAAGATTCCGGAGAGAGAGAGGGTTTGCTGTTTTCTCATTTTTGCTAAGCAGCCATGCACTGCAACCAGTTTTTGCTATTAGATGTACAAAAGCCTATGGTTCTAAAACAGTAGCTTCAGCTTCCATTTCAATAAAAAAAAAAAAAAAGATCAGAAGTCAGGTCAAGCACAACTTGATTTCAGACTTGGTAGCAGATTTGAACGGTGTAAACATTACAAGCTATACTTCAGAGTCCAAACAGGTATATTTAAACATGAATATAGACAAAATTTTGTGGTGGATACTGTTAGCATGCTGCATTGCATTATTTCCAAAACAACCCATTCCCAAATGCCCAAATAAAAGTAAATGATTGTGCATTGCATCATGATACCATTGGATGTGCAACTTTGGTTCATGCAAAGTCTCATTTTATGGACACACTGCTGATAGGCCATAAATTCCTGAAGATTCTGTATGTGTGAGCTTTTCAGCCATGTTCTTTCCATAACACCAAATGGATACTATGGTCTGGCATACTGGTGGCAAAAACCAAGCCTGTATCATTTTGGCCATTTAGTCCATTTAACCAAGACATTTCACCAGCCAAGAAACTTGAACCTCTCTTTGACTTTCTATATTCTGGTAAAGGCCAGCGGCTTATCAGTTTTTCTGTCCTCAAGTCCATTATGTACAGGTATCTGTTGTCAAACAGTAGAGCAAATATCTCTCCAAAGCCCAGCAACGATACATTTGAGAAGTCTGGAAGTTTGATAACCCTAGAAGACAAGAAAACAGTGTTAGAATCTCCCTTACAATGTTGTCATGAGCTTGAATTACTAAAGGGAATCCTGTATGTCTATAGAAAATGTGTCTAAAGTCATCATTCTGAAGTAATTTAGAAAGAACTGGATGCAAATCTTTCAAATTAAGCAACTGAACACTTTAGCTACAGTCAGGCCTGTGGTTTCACTTCTGACTTTATATATTCAGGACAGACCCATCTGAACATAAGTGAAGGCTAAGGTTTGAAAGGGATTATTCTGCAGAGCACAAGAGAAAAAAAAGAGCCATTTCTACATACAAATGAAAGAGCAAATGTACTTGTGTTTTACAGTAAATTTCCATATGGATTTCAAGCCTCAATATCTTTACACTAAGAGGTAAAAGCTGCCATTATTCTTTTGATTACTACTCTAAAAGGCAGAAGTAAAACAGAGACATGCCTTCTTTTGATAACCAGGTTCAATAAGTCATCCAAGACTAGTCCTTAGAATGCTGTTTTACTGATGTTTTATGTTAAATTACCCATGGGAAGAAATAAAAGTATTGTTTAGTTCCCCAACACCTTGATGGTGGCTTCCCTTAATAAATAAAAATGGAACAGAAACTGAAGAGTTGAGTCTTCCACAACTGCCTGCATGTTTGATCATAGCATTACATAAAGCAAAGAACTGAGGCACAAAAATATGTGGGGATGAAAATCTGCTCTCAGCAGTAAGAGTCCATCTTTCTGTTTTGAAAGATGGGAGAGTAAACTAAGAGGTGAAATTACTCAGTTATTCTTACTCATAAGAAGCACTTCGGGAGATCTTTCAAATATCCACAATTATTCAGGGTATTTGTATTAAGGAGTCTGCTAGCAGTTCTAAAATGCATTTTTTTTCTTTAGTAAGTTACTATCTTTGATGCCACCATTTCCAACTCATACAGCTTGATTCTTTATGTGGAAATGGAATGCCATCATGTTCAGTCCCTCACTGCAGTCTGACAGATTTCACTGTCATTCCACAACATTAGAAGGAGTGACAGATCAGTGGTGCTATAAGGAAAAAGAGACTTTTTAATTTCTTGTCCCAGCAAAGGACCCCCAGAAATTCCTGCTTGGTTCTCTGTATAGCAGTCTCCATGGTAACATTAGCTTTGCATCACTACATTTCCACATTCACAACTACAGCACTGCAGTCTGGTTTAAGTCTATACTGAACCACTTCAGCTTACAGAATGAAAATATGGAAGAGAATTAGCATGTGGCCAGAAACAAAAACAGCAATGAAACGATTCATATTATCAGATGACAAAATTAGAATTAAACTGCTCGATATGTGTAAAGCAAGATGTTTCCAGGATTTTATTCAACATTCTTTTGGTCCACATTTAAGGTAAGTTAGTAAAACTGGTTAACTACTTCTTATTTATTTAATGAAGACTGAATCCTAAACTGAATGGTTTACCTGAGAATATCATAGCTGGCAAAGTCCCACTGGTATAATCCTAGTGCTGAACTGCACACTATGTATTTACCATCAAAGTGCAGCCTAGGCTGTAGGGAGATGCTGCGGTCTTCAGAAACAGACAATGTTCTTAAGCATTTGCAGTTTATTTCCCTTCCAATAGGCCAAATCTATAATTAGAAAACAGTTAAAGACCATAAAAAATACACAATATAAACTGTTACATAAATAGAGCAAGCCTCACAGTCTTTTTTTAAGCATCAGATAAACGTGTGCATGAGTTTTTTCCAGAAATATTTATCTTTTTCAGGTAGAAACATCAATTTTTTCAAGTGACTTGTCTTACAGTGCAGCACATGTTGTTTCTAGCCTAAGAAATTGCCAGTGTAAATAGGTACTTTAAAGAATGGGGGGAAAAACCAATCAACCATCCAACTGGGACAGAAATGTAACTGTTTCAGTTATGAAACACTTCTATAGACACAAACTTACAGCACTCTCCAACCCCAAAGTCCCCAACAGTAACAGTATTTGCATTTACCTGTTTCACTGTCACAACTTGGAAGCACCAATTCTTTGCATTACCACTGTTGTAGAGCTATCATTTAAAACTAAATGCTAAGGCAAGCATTGAAAAATTAGCTTCCAAAGAGTTTCATGTTCTGCACGCAGCCTCCAAAGCAGGAAATGTGGGGAAAAACTAAATCAAATTGTTTGTAAACAAATCCTATTGTTTGTAAACTCCAGCAAACTACTCAAGCTTTTTGCTTCCCAATGTACCGAAATAATATATGCATGATATATGGTACATACCTTGATTTCATACTTATCTGCACTTAGGAGAATATAATCCCCAGGACTATGCATAAGAGATTTGACTTTGCATTTCTGCAAAACAACCTGTAATTGAAGGATGGTAATGATTTATATTGATGCTGTTAAATAAATAAATTTTCATTTACATTTTTCATTTCACTGACCACCTGCATAGTGTACCCATGAATATAGGCAATACAAATACTTTTTAGCAACTGAAGGAAAACTACAGTTTACACTCTTTTGTTCCTACTAGTGACAATTTACTGTACTAATAAGCAAACATACATACTTCATCCCTCATCTTTCAAGTTCTGAAATAACCAGAGGAAAAATATTGTTTCATGATGAGATTTTTGTTATCAAGATCATTATATTTTTACATAAGTTTTAAAGCTATCTTTTTTCAGAACCAGTTTTTATTCAGTCTTTGAATCAAAACACTGTTTCCTAGTATTAGCCCAGCTGCTTTGGAATTGAAATATCTTCAATAGTCTGAAAGGTTTAATTACATCTTAAATATTTTTTCTCTTGAAATGTTATTTTGTAGTATTTCCAGATGTTCTTCAGATTCTAAACCTACCTGCAGGATTAGGATTAGGAAATAAAAATTTAGAACGTGTTACAAATTTAGTGCAAATAAATGTGTGAGATTAATTATATATCAATATTCCCACCTTAGTGACCCATTCTGTGTGTCCAGTAAGGGTATTCAGGCACGTTCCTGTTGATAAGGCCCACACTTTCACAGTGAAGTCTGCAGAGCCACTGACCAGAATATCAAGTTCATCATTGTAATCCACACTAAAAACTTCAAGCAAAGAGGGAACTAAATAAGGAATACCAGTCTCTATGAATGCATTTTTCTGTGAGACACTAGTAGCATCTGTATGAATTTAGCAGCTTCTAAATTCATATGCTACTACATCCCTAATTGTTCTTGAACTGTATAAATGAATTGTTGCTCTGGATGCCTAAGTTTACATTGCAAAATTACTGGGGTTTTTTGCCCAAATTAAGAGCATGTATATCAGTGGTTCCTTTAAGGCTGGACTGTGGCAGAGTGTAACTTAAGCTAGTTCATATTTCCAGAGTTTTAGTAAGATGATTCCACAGGATTAGTATATTTTATAAATACAAAGAAAAAAACTACTAGCTGAGCTGAGGGTATTTCTAAGTACATGACAAAGAATTGAATTATGAGGGCAATGCAAATATCTATTCCCAGCTCCCATTTTGCTCTTTGCTTTAAGCTTATGTCCAATATGGGAATAGAAAAAATGGCCATGGCCATGTATGCCCTGCTACCTAAGATCTGCACCTCTTTGAGACTTGAAGCTACTGAATAACCGTGGCATTTATTGTTACTTCCATGCAATTGGAAAATGCTACATGGGTAAGCTTTGGCATATTCAGGGACAAGTGTCTATCTGTTCTGGTCACTTTCCCTGTTGAGGGAAACTGAGGGGACTCAGATGACAGAGAACAGAGGCTGAACAAACCGATGAAGCTAGTGTGCAAAAAGCTAAATTTAATTATATTTTGTTTGATGATGATGTACATTACTTCACTGGTGAAATTACAATTTTAAAATTTCAACATACCTGCACCAGTATGTCCTCTGAAATGCTGTGTCTTTGCCCCAGAGCTCCATTCCCAACAGGCTACTGTGTTATCGAAAGATCCTGTTACAAGCTTTTGTTCATCAAACTTCACTGCAGCACAAGTGTGTGTCTGGATACCATATATGCACTGACCTGTGCTTACATCCCACAGTTTTGCAGACAAGTCATCTGATCCTAGAATATAAAACAACAGGATAAATGCAAGATTGGTAGATTCTGGCATTATGTCTGTGATAGTGTGAAACAGGTGAACGGAAATTTCAAGTGACACATCACTCAGGTTTTGACTGTACTGCAAGCCTCAGTTTCTTTCAGGAAGGAAAGGGTTCCAGCAAACTTTGAAATATAGAGGAATACCAGGCCTCATATCCTGCCACTTTCTTTTCTCTACCTGAAGCTCCTCTTTTTTCAACTGCTAGCTTTGGAGAGGAAAATAAAGCTCTGGACTCCTTACATCTGCTTCTCCTGGAGGTTTCAGTACAAAAGTTGTCAGAAAGTTTTGACAATGCTGTTTGCTGTGTGTAACATTCACTACTGAGTAGGTAAGTGAAAAACTGGCTAGAATCTAGTTGTTGGCTTCTAGTTAGCATCCTACTGTACCAACAAATGACCGACTGAAGGAAGTATTCCCAATTTAGTGTATAACATTATCATTCCAAATTACTGGAAAATCCTTGAATATGCTCTGACAGCGATTCATTGTAATGGTTATTATTCTTTCATACTAAGGCTTCATATATGTTCTGTCTGTAACTTAAGTTCAAACTGAAATACTGCAGTCTCTACTCTTCAGGGAGGAAGCTGAAATTATGTGCAAGTCAGACTAGTAGCAAGGTTAAATCTAGTTTTACAGCACTTCATAAAGCACTTATGTTAGGAACTGAAAGTGCTTACAGCCTTGTTTCAAAGAAGATAGGATTTTTCTTCCACGCTCTGGGAGACTGAAATTCTCTCACAGCCTAAAGTCCTTTTAATTGAAAGCTATCTCTAAGAGGATAGGTAACATATCTGTACTTTCCAAATGGGCTTACTCATAGTACCAACATGATCAAAATCACAATCTGGATTGGAAGGGCCCTTAAAAATCATTTAGTTCCAACCATGGTGCCATTGGCAGGGACAATGATACCTACTGTTACTATTTCTTTATCAAACAAAGACATTGGTCTCCTTGTGTTCTTAGTAAAGTGACTAATGAGTTTATTAGTACACCAGGTGTTTAAAAAATTGAAAAAATAAGTAATTTTGAATTATCATTTGTATTCACACTATGACAATAATTTGTCTGGTAAAAGAAAAGCAAATTGTCATTAATCTTATGAGGGGGAAGAGAAAACAAAGAATTTTAAGACTCCCAAGTTGTCTCTCCTTCCTACCTGTACACAGAAGTCCATCTTTATAATAAAGTGCATATACTCTGGCACTGTGTCCAATTAATGAGGATGTCTCAAAGGCTTCATGGTCCTTCAGTTGCTTCATCCTTAAAATAGCTTTTAGGTAAACCTTCTTCCAATGTAGAGGATCCTGAACAGAGTCATCTATCTGCCAACCCAAATTCTTACAGGCAGTCTGCCACACCTCTGTACAGGCACTTATAACCTTGTTCCACTGCTTAGAGACGAGGCAACACGTGAGTAAGGTCTGCGGATCAAGCCATTTTAATAGATAAAAACTAAGTTCCAATGGAAGAAGTTTGAGGAAGTCCCTCTTGAGTAGAATCTCTAGATTATTGGAGAGGTGCCTGAGCTGGACTGCTCCACTCAAGCTAATCAGGTGATCCAGAGTTTCATTTTTCTGCAAGTCCGTCAGAGAAAGAAATGCAATAGAAATGTTATCAAGCCATGCTTCAAAGTCCTTTTTCTCCATAAGGTTATGGAAAAATTTACCTGTGATACATCAAAATACTGTATTAGTTCCGTTCAGAAAATAAGGCATGAATCACATCTTTATTACGGGTACATAAGTATTCCAAATGGCATGTTAACACACAGATTGAAGAGACCAAATGCATTTTAAAATATTCTTTAGGTTAGGACTAAGCATTTGCATGCGCCCTGAACTATCATTTGTCCCACAGCAGACTTACAAGTAAACTGTATCTAGCTAGTGAATGTCAGCATTCATTATGAATGTTAACATACTTCTTGGTTTAGATTAACACTTTCAAACTCTGAGTCCAATAAGGTAGGGGTTAGTTTAGGTTTTACACCTATTGCAGCAAATAAACACCATCTTAGAGTTTACTCATGGATTATTCTGATAAAAGGAAAAAAACCAAAACACGTAACCAGAGTGATAAGCTAGTTACTAACATAATGTACTCATACCTTCCTCCTGAACTATTTTAAATACAAAGCAGATAACTAGTTACGTTTTCAAAAAAGTATACAAAGATGTCTGACAAATTGTGCTGGGGGATACGTTAGTCTTTCTAATTTTTCTATTTGGCCCATGTAAAGGCCTGAGCTTGTGCTCGTCTAGCATCAGTTTTGATGTGTCTGTACCACTTTGACCTAAATGCATTTTAAAAATCCTTTTGTTGTATTTTTTTTCCTATTTCCTCAGTTTATTTCCACTGAGACTTAACTGTGAAATTGAATACCACCCCCTGAACGCACTTATACTATCCTGTGACATCTCAAATTCCTTTAGCAACCTGAGACCATTGATTAAGAAGATAAACATCCGGTAAGCAATTAAAAAATAACATACATTTATTTTCTCTGGAAGGTCTAATTCATTAAATAACTGTCTGAATTTTACAGCACTCCCAAACTGAAAGAACTGAGGTATCTGAGTGGGACTCAATAGCATGTTTATTTCTATACACACATTTTACCATCATAGAATTAGATCTTAGAGCACACCTCTTAACAGGGCATAGGAGTACAGAAAATTACAGTCATCTCTATAAAAGGCTGCACATGGCATGCAATTGTTGGTAAAACAGACAAGAAGGTTCTGGATGTCGAATCCACAGAACCAGCTGCTCCTTTTAATCACAAGTTCATTACAGTAACTTTTACTGCAGACAGCACTTACCAGCTTTCCTCAACACATATGGCAGTGAATACAGTTGCTGTTCAAACAGGCACGTGTTAAAGTAAAAAAATTCTAATAGGCCGGCTACGAATATAAACTCCGTGAGCCCCAAGGCGTTCGTTGTATTCAATACGTGAAGATATTACTGAAATTAAGGGCTGCTGTGAGGCCGCTGAAACCAGTGCTCGAGCCTCTTTTCCAGGTGTTACGCAGCCAGCCCTATCCGCTCCCCCCGACCGCTCCCAATATACCTCCACACGCAAAAAGCACGGCGAGGAATGCATACTCAGCGCCGCTGCTGCCGATAGCTCCGCGTCGCTCACCTCAGGTAGCAGTCCGGTGCGGGGTGTCGGTCGGCGGGCAGTCGCCACGGCTTGCGCGGACTCCCGGAGTCCAGCACGGCCGGGTGCTTCCCTGGGGCCATCGCTCCCACGGCAGGACCGGCTCTCAGCACTTCCGCAGCCCACGCCACAATCTGCAGGCACCCACGGCAGAAGGGTCACCCCCAAGAGGAGACCAGGGCCTCACGACCGCCCGACGCTGAAGGGAGGGGAGGCTGGGCCAAGCCCGCTCTGGGCGAACCGCCGGCACCGGAGAGAAGGCGCTCCCTGACCCGTCGCTCTCACGAACAGGCGGCTTCCGGCGCATCCCAACGTCATCGTTCCCCGCCGCCGCGCCCAGCCGCTTCCACCCGGCCCGCTCCTGCTGTCCGGCGCGCTCGTAGCGGCGTCCCGGCGAGAGGCGACCGGGGACGGACGCGTCGACGCTTCCCCACAGGCGACACATGGCTGAGGAATTTGGCTTCCGACTCGTACCCGAGGTTTTGGCAAGTTCTGTTTGTTGAGAATATTCCTGTAATTATTATGATGAAAAATACGCTAGTGTTTTATCATACTGACTTACAGTCACGTATTCTCTCTCCTTCTGGTAGAAGTACGGTGTCGGTGGAACCATGCATAACGTGAAAACTGCATCCCCCTTACTTGATTAATTTGGACATAATTTACTTTTTCCTACTTAACCTGCATTTATTTTCTTCACTTTTTAATTGCAGGTTTTGCCTTTGCCTGGGTCCAGCTCCATGGTTGCTGGTATCTGAAATCTTCCTGCTTAAAGCAAGAGGCGTATCTAGCGCTGCTTGTGTGTTAACCAGCGGGGTTATGGCCGCCTGAGTAACCCAAAGAATTTCGGCATTGTATAGTAAGCATTTTATAGTAAGCAAATTACACTTATTTCTTCAGTTCCTGTGTTCTTTTAACCTGGTGTACTGACTGTAATGGCCATGTGAGAATATTAAGTAAGAATATAAGGGGCCAATATATTTTTTTTTCCTAAGATGTAAAATAAAATCTAATTTTATAAATAAATGAAATTTCCTTCCTTAACTCTACCTTTTCCTTAGGCTGCATGTTACAGTGTAGAAGTGCACAACATAGCCTGGCTAATGTTAGTTTCAGACTGCAGTACTTGATGTTTGGCTGTTATTTCTGTTAATTCTGACCACAGAATTAAGTCTTAATCCCAAATGAAGATGAATTCTTGGCTTTCGTGGACTTAAGGCTTTTTTCTTATTGTTGTCAAGGTGGCTAGGAATGCATTTAAAAATGCATTTAAATTTAAAGGGTTGTAGCTCTTAAGAGAATGTCTTTGCTACTTCGGGAAAGTGATTTTTCAAAAGGAATTGCAAGGTCTTGGAGACAGTAAGAGTACACACTTAGCCAGAAAGGGAGAAAAACTAGTTTGCAGTGTTAGTTTACAGAGTAAAGATCCCCAACTGAAGCAGGTCTCCAAAAGTCTAAAAGATGGCTGGAAACATAAACCAAACCTAGATTATGGCTTTTATCAAAGACGGGTAAAGCTTAAGACAGAAACAGCAATCTCATAGGTATGATACAGCACTTCAGAAAACACACAGCAGTGCTGTGTGTTACATCCTTTTTCATTTCTCGTCTTTTTACTTAGCAGATTTGAAAGTCATTAGTCCTGCGTGTGTGAAACAGGTGAAAGAAACAGGTGGGGTCAAATTTATTGTTTATTACAGATGAAGAAATAAATCTTGTTTCTTCATCACAAAGGTGATAAATAGTACTTAAAACACTTTCAGATGTGATAGGACCGTCTCTATTTGGATGTCGTATATAAAATACAAACCATACATGCTATCAATATGACATTAAAAAAATGGTAATACATCAGCATTTAAGACCAATGGTAAAGAGTCTTTGATCACAAATGTAGCAACAGTCTTAACAGTATGCCATTATTAAATTACAAAGCAGTCTGCTACCATTCAAAGACAATTAAACTGACGTTCTAGATTGATAACACTCTGCATAAATCCTTACATAGCATTTTCCATTCAACCAGGTAAATATGCAGAAAAATATCTCCATTTTCTCTTCAAGTCAGATGCTAGTACCACAATTTCCAGTAGCAAAGAGGAGTCAATCAGTTACAGGTCAGCAACAAAGTGAAGCAGCTAAGCAGTACACAGGCAGGCTGGTGAAGTTGCTGTGCTCAAGTAATAAGAGTAAAAATATTTTGTAACCTGCATGCAAGTACAGATGTTTGCTGCACAATCTCTTGAGCCTTCCCATATTGTTAATATTAGGTTTCCAGTGTATAATTTAGTCCTTCACAAAAACAGATTGAGCCTATCAGAGAAAATAGTGCTTTAACAGAATAAGCAAACACTGTGCATATGAACCATGACATCGAATTTTTAAGAATGAAAATAGCGTGATACCCATTTTCACAGACACAGATGGCAACATAAATTATTCTGAAATACCTTATCACTTGGTGATGGGATTTTCTCTTCCCCTGCCTTTTATGACCCCGTTACTTTAATTTCCTATATATATAACTTAGGATTTTTAATCCCTGAAAATTTACAAATATATATACCTATATATGTATATATATTGAAAACCAAATCCAAATGAAAAGGGTTATATATTTCAAATGCAGACTAAGCCAACAGCTCTGGAAAAGCCACTGCATCTGCAAGGAGTGTTACAGACCCACACCTTTGGAAAAACATGTTCAAGCTAGCCGTTACTGGTCAAATATACTTAGAACAGCAGAAAATATATGTCAGGAGTAGCAACCTTAACCATATGTAACTCGTTAGGCAATAATGCTACCCATTCCCTGCCCTCTTAAGTACTGTTTAAGTATTTATTCAGTTGACTGTCAAGTACAAAAAAAATTCAATCTGAATCTATCAAGTACAAATACATGCACATTTATAGAAATAATCACATGAAAGCAGAGAACAAACCTGCTGTTCATTCCAGGTGCACACTTGCATGTATGTTATGCATTGAAAAACAATGGCAAACCAACTAAAAAAAAAAACCCAAACAAACAAAACAACAAAAACAAACAAACAAACAAAAAAAAAACAAAACAACAAAACGAACCAAAACCAACCAACCAAAAAACCCCTCAACCCAGCCAACCAAACCCCCCCTCCAAAACCTGAAAAAAAAATCGCATCCAACAAAGTAACAAAAAGCCGGCCCGCACCACTAGCCTTCAGAAACCACACAAACCAAAACAAAGAAAAATCCCCGCTGCACCCCCAAACTAGTAAAGGACTATAACTAGAACAGGCCTTACTTTGCAAACCAGGAAACCGAATGTATGCATGCATTCACTGAACCTAGAGAGCAGTTCTCTTGCTACCATGAACAGCCATAGCCCTTTCAAATTTCACGTGGGTTTTTGTTTTGTATTAGAAGGAAGGGTTTCGTTACTTTCAAGCACTTATAAAATATTTATGTGTACTGCATTGCCACTAGAATAAGGAACTGGACAAAAATGACTCTGTACTGGTTTCTAAAGCCCAATCTGGTCTTTAGGGACCTTACGAAGAAGCTCATCAAAGCCTTAAGGGCTCCATATTGTGTGTGTGTATGTGTGAATTAACTTAGGTCATGTGTCTGGGGGTTCTTAAGTCCTAGTAACACTTCAAAGTTATGGTGATGGTCTATATGCATGCTGCAATTGAAATGCAGGACAAAGATGACAAGTAGCCCAAAATCTTGCATATCCATTTTGAACAGATTTTTGAATGGTGGTGCACAGGTGTATGTACTGGACTAGATGATAACACAGTGGTCCTTTCTACCCTCAACTATTTTGTGATTCCACGCATCATTAACCATGCTGGTGAGAACACACAAGTACATTCTAAATTAACTACCTGTACAATCTAATGCTTACACCAATGTAAATGACATTCCTATAATTTAGTCAGACTAAGGCACAGGGATGAAGCGGTGACCAACACCATTTAGCCAGGAGTTTAGAGCCCTGCTGCTGCCTACAAATCCAGCACATTGGGATAGAAAGTATTTCTTGCAGAAACTTAGCCAAGGGTCCAGAAAGGGCCTAAACTTAGCCTGATAGCAAGTGTTCAATCTGGTAACAATTCTTCCTTCATGGAAAAAATTCTTTCCTCCCATCCATCTTTAGCAACATTTTTCAGTTTTCCTATCAGAACAATACCCATCTTACATAGCAGAGTCAATTCTTGATGCTGGCTGACCATCTCATGGTTAGGAGAAAAGATAATCTCCTAACCATGAGATGGTCAGCCAGCATCAAGAATGCAGCCTACAGGCAGCTTTAACGCCCAGTGTGAATGGAGAAAGGGTTATGTTTACAGTGGACATGGCTACAATTTGTGCCCAAGACTACTTTTTAAGTTTTAGAGAGTATATGCATGCACAGGCTGGAAAAACAGAGGGCAAACAACATGGCTCCAACACTGGAGTGAATGACACTATAGCCATCCCAGCAGCCTTTCAACAAGCCTTGTCATCTTACGCTAGTCTTAAGAAGGAGAGGTTCTGCAAGTGTGTAAGAACTTTGCCCTTTATAAATGATGCACAAGAGATTTGGTATCAATCCCACCAACTGCCTCTAGATTTCCATTAGCAGTCTACATAATAAGGATGATGTTTTGAGAGAAACAATGGCTAGAAGCTAGTTCTCCTCACATGAAGAGACACAGAAATCATAGTGGTCTGTTCAGACTACTAAAAACGTCAAAGAAGCCGCATCCTTGTACAAGGTTGTGTATACCAGCAATTTCATGATTGTGTCAGTTATTGGTTTTTTTGATACAGTAAATGTGATAAAGACCTTCACAGAATTTGGTTCCTGTGCCTTGTGTCAAATAAAATTGGAATATTATTTCTATGTTCTCTGCCTCCTACCTATGTTCTGGGCTGCTCTCCTACAATAAGTACGTAGTAAACTACAGATACATGGCTCTAAAGCCTCAGCTACCAACTCCAGGTGTCATCTAACCCAAACAAAATATTGTTTCACTCTCTACTTCTTTAATTAGATGTTATCCCTCTATGGCACTCTAAGTACAAAAGCAAAAACTTAACAAGGCATTTACTGGATACATTAAGAATGAAGACATTATTTTTTTTCCCCAGGATTCAGCTCCTTCCTGTCCTACATGAGCAATGATCTGTTAAGGTCTGGTAGTTCCTAGTGTGACTTGCTTAGCAGCTTGTACCAGACCCATTAAGTCAAGCTACAGCATAAAAACAGGTAGGTGGTGAGCAGGGATGCAGTTGCTGCTGGGCTTCCCTCTTCAAATGATACCAATATC